TACCAAGTACCGGGCCTTGGACGGTACCTGCAACAACCGCAGGAATAAGGAATGGGGCAAAGCGGGCACCGCCTTCCAGCGCATCTTGCCTCCGGACTACCACGATGGTAAGAGTTTTGCCTGTTTTTCTAGTTTTTTTTTTGTGGTAGTTAGCTTTTAATTATTATGTTTATAACGGTGATTACTGTTGATGGTAATGGTAATCTACGGGTTATAATAATGAATCGTGTTTCATGGTTGATAGTTGAAGAATGATAACAGCTTTTTCGGCGGGAACTATACGCAGGTTTAAAGGGCTCAGGTTTGAAAAAAAAATGGTTTCTCATTCGTTTCGTTTTTTCCTCAATAATCAACAACCAATATCACAAATCACAACAATTTTTTCTTCCTCCTCTCCCCCTCCCCTTTGTCTCTCCCCCTCTACTCCCCCTCCCCTTCCCCTCTCCCCACATCGCCGCCTGTATTCCCCTTCCCCTTTCGCTCTCCCCTTTCCCTCTCCGCATCTCCCCCTCTATTTCCCTCCCCTCTCCCCTTTCCCTCTCCGCATCTCCCCCTCTATTTCCCTCCCCTCTCCCCTTTCCCTCTCCGTATCTCCCCCTCTTCTCTCCCCTCTCCCCTCTCCCCCTCTCCCCTCCTAGGCGTAAACATGCCCCGGCAGTTCTCCGTGACCGGGTCCCTCCTGCCTTCCCCGCGCTCGATCTCGTCAAGTGTGATCGTCGACCGCGATGCCCGCTACGACAACTTCACGATCCTCATCATGCAGTGGGGGCAGTTCCTCGACCACGACATCACCCACACGCCCATCACGAAGGGTAAGGACTATTAAGCCTTTTTTATATTTATTTATTGTATTTATTTATTTATCTATTTGTGTGTTTATGTATTTATTTATTTATCTATTTGTGTATTTATTTATTTATTTATTTATTTATCTGTTTGTGTATTTATGTATTTATTTATTTATCTATTTGTGTATTTATGTATTTATGTATTTATCTATTTGTGTATTTATGTATGTATTTATTTATCTATTTGTGTATTTATGTATTTATTTAGTTAGTTATTTCTATTTATCTATTTTTATTATTTCTATTTGTTTTGAATGGCTTTTTATGCTGGTTTGCGTATGACTGGGATTTAGGAGAGTGGGGTGTGAGTTAGGAGAACAGATGTAAATTCGTAAGGTGTGGTAAGTGGGGATTATTGTGTTCATTTGGGGATTGACTATATTATATGGAAATTGTTACAGCAATGATGGTAATATATATATTTTTTATCATTTTTAGCATTATCATCAGTAGCAGTGTTGTTGTTGTCGGCATTATTATTATTATTAATTTTCGACTCGAAAATTAATTCGTATCAACAGTTTCCAATAATGCAAACCCAAAAGGGAGGAGCCCTTTGTCTTTCTCCCCTATTGCCTCTTATCTGAATCCCATTTTAATCAATTATCTCATAGTTGAAGCCCAATTCAGTCCAATTACCTCTTATTCAAAGCCCACTTCAGTCCAATTACCTCTTATTCAAAGCCCACTTCAGTCCAATTACCTCTTATTCAAACCCCATTTCAGTTTTATCACCTATTTAAACCCCGCTTCAGTCCTCCCCCCCCTACTTAAACCCCATTCCCCCAGGGAAGGACAAATCCGACATCACGTGCTGCAAGCGAGGGCAGCGCAGAGAGCCCGCGGAACTGCACCCGGCCTGCTTGCCTATCGAGATCCCAGACACTGACTCCTTCTTCAGCCAGTAAGTGCTTTTAGATCAGATTTTAGATTGCTTGAGGCGAGGTGCAGGGAGTGTTATGCCTTGTTTAATTTTTGTGTGTTTGTTTTGTTTGGTTTTGGTTTGGTTGGTTGGTTGTTTTTTTTCGTTTTTTTTTAATCGCTGCGTTTTAAAAAAATAATAAATAAAAATGAAAAAAAAGGAATGAAATGTATGGTTAAGGTGCTTGAATGCAGATCGAGTGATAAGGAGCTTCTAATTATCATTATTATAATTATCATCATCATTATTATTATTATTATTATTGTTATTATTATTATCATAATTATTATCACCATCATCATACCCATCACCACCGCCACCATCACCACCATCACCATAATCCTCATGGCGCTTGCTTCCAGGTTCGGGCAGCGTTGCATGGAGTTCCTTACTTCCTTACCAAAGAATTTGAAAACATATCAAATGTAAAAGCATATAAAACAAACATGACACACCAGTATTATTCTAGCTTCACTGTAACTATTAGAGGCAAAGACATACACCCTGATCTCTTCACAAATTCAAATGTTTTCCCCAAAAATGTTAAAGTATTTTTAAACAAAAACAAGTACAAGGACGATCAGCTGGTTTGACACACTCACACACCGAGACACCGAGGCACCGCCGTCAGCAAGACCGACGGTCAGATCACACATGCTAAAAACAGAACACATCAACACATCTCTCCTTGGTCATCTTGACGAGATAGAAATGCTTATATTGGAGAGAAATCTTGATATATTATGTATTAGCGAATCATGGCTTTACCAAGATATACCAAGCGCATTCATCAAAATACCAAATTTCAATGTTTATAGATGCGATGCAGGGCGTGGTGGAGGAGTCTGCATTTATGTACGAGATACTCTCAAAACAACTGAGATATCCGCTACAACTGCAAGGGGTGCAGATGTAGAGGATATTTGGGTTAACGTACAATGCAATATGCTTCCGTCATTCATTGTAGGCGCAACCTATAGGCATCCTCATGGTTCTTCTGAATCTTTTGATTATATAGAAAAAGTTTTTAGAGAAATGTTACTTAAAAAGAAACCTCTCTTCATACTGGGTGATTTAAATGATGATTTAAATAAACCTAATGCAAAACTATCTAAAATAATTAGGAAAAACAAATTAGAACAAATAGTCAAAAAACCTACAAGGAACACAGAATACACTTCATCATTAATTGATGTAATAATAACAAACAGACCTGACCTCATTCACCATACAAACGTCATTCCATGCCATGTTGCCGATCACGAACTCATAACAGTGACGCTAAATTTAAAGAAATCAAAAAGACCGCCAGCCATAAAAAGTTTCCGAGAATTAACCAACTACGACCCTCAGTCATTATGCCAACAAATAATTGCCAAGGAAGCAACTCTTTTAGAAATATTGCAAACAGATAATGTAGACAAACAGGTAAATGTCTTTACGGAAGTGATTAATGACAGCATAGATGCCATCGCTCCATTTGTTACAAAAACTGTTAGACGTCCTCCTGCTCCATGGATAAACAACGACATCAAGAGAGCAATAACAGATAGAAATAACGTTCATAAATCTCTCAAAAATGACAGACACAACATGGGACTCCAGAATAACTACAAACAAAAAAAAAGAGAAAAGTCAAATCACTTATACAAGGGGCCAAAACTGATTATTTTAGAAATAGGTTAACAACTTGCAAAAAAGACTCTGCTAAAACATGGAAAATCATTAAAACACTTGTACCAAACCAAAAACATCACAGAGATCATCTAAACACCAGTATTAGTGCAAATGACGACGATTTTTTCGCTAAAATTGGACATCTCACATAAAAACAAACATACGCTTCCAGATCTCAGCAAATGGCAGGTAGGATAAGGCCACTAGCAAATATTTTCAGACCAAGACCTGTAAAAGTAGAAACAGTAATCTTAACAATAAACCACCTGCGTCAAACAAATGCTGTGGGAGCAGATGGTATTGCTTTTCGCTTTATTAGAGACAGTCTACCTGCAATAGCCTACTATCTAACGGTAATTATTAACACATCCCTAGTCACTGGTGATTTCCCATCGCTTTGGAAACATGGCATAATAACACCAGTTTTCAAATCCGGAGACACAGACGAAGTCAATAACTATCGCCCTATAACCATACTGCCTATACTGTCTAAAGTTCTAGAAAAAATCGTAGCAGACCAATTGGCATTATTCCTGGAGACAAATGACATACTATCTAATTCACAACATGGCTTCAGAAGTAAATTGTCTACTGAAACAGCATTATTACAGATCACAAATAAAATCTATGAGAACATAGACAACAATCAAATAAACTTGCTAACATTGTGCGATTTATCCAAGGCTTTTGACAGTGTCAACCACGAAATCTTCCTTCGTAAATTAATATATCACAACATCGATACATACTGGTTCAGAAGTTATCTAAGCAACAGAAGCCAATCAGTCAAAATTCACGAGGAAATATCAACAAAACAGATAGTCTCTTTCGGTGTTCCACAAGGATCAATATTAGGCCCAATTTTATTTACAATATTCGTAAATGACTTAACACCCATAGCCCAAAACTGCTTTCTTGTTCAATACGCCGATGACTACCAATTTCTCCACAGTGATTCAGTAAACAACTTAGATGAACAAATAAAAAAAAACCAGGAGACATTGACACAAATAAAAGGATACTTTGACACAAATGGCCTTAAGATAAATCCAGATAAAACACAATGTATCTTCGTAGGTAGTCGCCAAAATATCGCCAAAATTCCAGCAAACACCACCATAAAATTTGAAGACAGCTACATAAAACCGAGCACTTCTGTAAAAAACCTAGGCGTACACATTGACAGATACATGACATTTGAGAACCATGTCGATAACATCCATAGAAAAGTAATGGGCACACTAATTTACCTAAGCCACATTAAAAACAAGATCCCGGCTGAAACTAGGATATCTGTAATACAAACACTAGTTCTCAGTATAATTAATTATTGCTCTAACATCTGGGGCACAACAAACAAGAGTCACATTCAGAAAATCCAAAAATTACAGAACTTTGCTGCGAGAGTAGCGCTTGGTAACGTAAACAAGTATGACCACATTACCGCACACATAAACAAACTAAATTGGCTAAAAGTACATAACAAATGTAACTATGACACTTGCGTACTAATTCACAAAATTATCCAAGGGTTTTATCCAAAATGGCTACTCACCCTTCCAGCCGTAGGAAACATAACCTGCGTCCAAACAAGACAGATAAACTCTCTACACATCAAAAGATCACGCACAGATATAGGGGCACGACACACTTACACGTGGACCCATGATTTGGAACAAATTACCAAATAATATCAGAAATATTAGAAACTCTAATACATTCAAAAAGAAATTAAAAGAACATCTCTTAAATGACATCAGGTTTCAATATATACAAATAGGCATGACTATATAATATTATTAATTCTATTTGTATCATATATTTACATGTACTGTGAAATCCCTTTCTATGTAAAAAGAATAACCATTGTATTTAATGGAATAAAGTATTTTGAATTTGAATTTAAATTTGAATTTGCTTCCAGGTTCGGGCAGCGTTGCATGGAGTTCGTGCGGTCGATGCCAGCCGTTCGCCCCAAGTGTAACTTCGGGCCCAGGGAGCAGATGAATCAGATCACGTCGTTTATTGATGCAAGGTACAAGGTTTTTTTTATTATTACTTCGTTTTGTAATATACTATTTTTTTTCTTGTGTGTGTGTAGGGGGGGGGGGGGTATAACTGTGAGTATCGAGGCTTATTTTTAATTTGATTTGAAATTGGTGGTGACGCGATTTAGTGCAGTTCAGTTTCCAGATTTCGATAATGGCGTGTTTTTTGAAATTTGGACATACGAAAAAGATTAATTCGATTTATTTCTTTGACAGTTTTTTTTTTCATTTGATTCGCTCTTTTGAATAAGTCCTTAATACCACCTTATTTTCGTCTATTTAACAAGTATTTAATTTTTTGAAAAATACACGTTAAATTCACAATAATTTATGCATTTAATAATTCATTTTCTTATTATTTTTACTAAGTGCGCAATGTTTTACTAGATTTTATTGTAATTGTATTTCTGCTGCTTTACAGAGCTCTAATTTTGATATATATCTACACTAATTTTATAAGGCTTTGATAAAACTCTTTTCACCCTATTCTACAAACTTTAAATTCCAGTCTACTTACTTCGCTAATTTTACTAAAAGCACTCAGCTTTACGAAAATATAATTTCACTCTTTAATTTCACAAAATACACTCTACTTGGCTTTAATATCACCCTTTTCCTCTACTCAGAAACACTTTTTATTCCACTAATTAAAGAAAAACTTTTTCCTCACCCGATTTCTTCATCTTCACAGTTATATTAATCTAATCTACTTTTACTTAATTACATACAATAATAAAATTGTTGCAATTGATACAATCCACTTTACAAAGATCTAATCTTACTCTATTCCATTGCTTACACTCTATTGTATTCTTCAAGGCTTTATTCTCACTGTTTATTCTACTTCACATTATTTTCAAATCATAGCTAAACTCTGCCTACGTAGCTTTCAGCTTACTCAATTTCCTCTACTTAAAACCTTTTAATTTCACTAAGTACACTTTTCATGGCTCTGATTTGATCCTTGCTCCTCAGCTTAGTGGTTCCTTAATCTCACTAAATTAACTATACAAGCCTATATTTCACTAAATACTTTCTACTTTAAAAGACTTTAATCTCCTACTATTTACTCTATAGCGTTTTTATATCACCATCTACAGTCTATTTTAATAAGCTTTAATCTTACCCTGTTCTTTCTACAAAAAAAAGCTTTTTCATTTCACTAAATACACCTTACATAATTCCTCACCTTTACCTCCCTATCTTACTAAATACTTTATAAAATGCTTTATTTGAGTAAGGACTCTCTACTTTATAAGACTATTTTCACACTATTCATTCTACTCTGTTTTGATATCACTAATGATACATTGCTTTACGATATTCTAACTTTACCTTGGTTCCTCTACTAAAAAAAAACTTGATTTCCACTAAATAATCTTACATGACTTTAAGCTTTCCCTCAACTTAACAGGTCTTGTAATTTCTGCTTTGCAAGACTTTCTCCTCGCCCTATTCACTCTACAATGATTTGATATCCCGAAATACACTATACTTTACGAACCTTTATTCCCACTCAATTTTCTTTACGTACATTGTACTTTACGAGACTCTATCCTCACTTTATTCACTTTACACTGGCCTAACATCCCTACCTACACTCTCTTCCTTTACGAAGCCCCAGCCTCACCCTATTTCCTTTCATTACACTCTTTTTCACAAGAGTTTAATCTCGCCCTGTTCCCTCCACATCCCATTACATCACGAAGCTCTCACCTCGCGCCCTTGTTTCCAGCAACGTGTACGGATCGACGGAGGAGGAAGCGAGGCCCCTGAGGTCCTTCGTGGACGGGAAGCTGAAGGTGAAGACGCAGGACGGGAACGACCTCCTTCCGCCGCACAGAGAGGAATGCACCGACGCCTCCAGGCAGTTCCATTGCTTCAAAGCGGGTGAGGGACAGGGGGTGGAGTGGGAGGTGGGAGGGAGGGGAGAGGGAGAGGGAGTGGGAGGGAGGAATGGAGGATGGGGGAGGAGGGGATGGAGAGGAAGAGAGGGAAGGGGAATGGGAGAGAAGAGGAGAGACAAGAAAAAAGTGGGAGAATGAGAGAGAGAGTGGGAGAGAGAGAGAGAGAGAGAGAGAGAGAGAGAGAGAGAGAGAGAGAGAGAGAGAGAGAGAGAGAGAGAGAGAGAGAGAGAGAGAGGGGGGGGGGGATGGAGATATAGAAAATTTGGTGAACAGAAACTGTAGAATGACTCTTCGTTGGGTTTTGTGGGAATTTCAACGAAACAGATGTCAGTATCCAGATGGTAAGCAATATGAACGAATAGAAAGATAAGTAAATATATCAATGAACAAACAAATATACAGGAAGGAAGAAAGAAAAAAAAGAATCATTAATTTACATGTATAGATAGACACACGGATAAACTGACTGATTGATAGATAGATTGATAGATAGCATACTGAATGAATGGATTTATGAATGAATGGACGGATCGACAGCCAAACAGATAGACAGACACACACAAACACCCCCTCAGACCTAACCCCCCCTCCCCAGGCGACAGCCGCGTGAACGAGCAGCCCGAGCTGGCCGTGATGCACACCGTATGGATGAGGCAGCACAACCGCATCGCCGAGGGCCTGAGGAGGCTCAACTCCGGCTGGGACGACGAGGTGCTCTACCAGGAGGCGCGCAGGATCGTGGCCGCGCAGATGCAGCACATCACCTACAACGAGTACCTGCCCATCGTGCTGGGTGAGTGTGCGGGTGAAGTGCTCCTATCTTCTGCTGCTTCTCCTTCGTCTTCTTTTCTTTTTCTCTTTCTTCTTTTCTTCTTCATCCTCTTCTTTTCTTATTCTTCTTCTCCGTCTTTTATTCTTATTCTTCTCCTTCTTTTCTTCTTATTATTCTTATTCTTATTCTTATTCTTATTATTCTCCTTCTCCTTCTTTTCTTCTTCTTCTTCTCCTTCATCTTCTTCTTCTTCTTTTCTTCTTCTTCTTCTTCTTCTTCTCCCTTTTTGTGTTGTTCTCACCTACAGCGAGTACCTGTCCATCGCTCTCCCTCCCTCCCTCTCTCCCTTTCCCTCTCTCCCTTTCCCTCTCTCCCTCCCTCCCTCCCTCCTCTCCCTCCCCCCTCTCCCTCCCTCTCTCCCGTTCCCTCTCTCCCGTTCCCTCTCTCCCTTTCCCTCCCTCCTCTCCCTCCCTCCCTCTCTCCCTTTCCCTCCCTCCCTCCCTCGCTTTCACTCATTTAATTAATTATCATTTTTATCCCTGCAGGCCGAGAATTCATGGAAGTGTTCGGACTCGTGCCCCAGGAGTCTGGCTACGCCTCCAACTACCGCGACGACATCGACCCGAGCATCAACAACGCCTTCGCAACCGCTGCCTTCCGATACGGACACACGCTCATTCACGGCACCATGGAGTGAGTGGTTGTGCATTCTTTATTTAATTCTTATCGTGTTTTTAATATTTATTTGTGTCTATGTTTATTTGATATTTTTTATTTGACATTTGTTTATTTTTTATTATTATTATTATTTAATGAGTTTGGGTGGCGTTTTAGGTTCGATGAAAATGTTGGAGGAAATTGTAGTCATTTTTAAGACATGAATGTGTTTCCTCTCTCCAATTCCTTCCTTTTCTGTTTTCTTCTTCTTCAGCAGAACTCTACGAACAGTTTCACAGATAAATCAAAGCAAAATACAACGATCTTAAATCAAATCAAAACACAGATAACGAAATACAAAAATCCTTTATCTCACCCCCTTCCCCCCTCCCCCAGAGGCTACAGCAAATTCGGCACCATCGACCGCAACCTCCGCCTGAGCGAGCACCAGTTCTCCCCCTTCGTGCTGTACCAGAGGGACGGCGTGGACTCCCTTCTGCGTGGCCTCTCCATCCAGGCCAGCCAGAAGTTCGACCATTTCTTCAGCGAGGAGGTAGGCACGTGTGTGTGTGTGTGTGTGTGTGTGTGTGTGTATGTGTGTGTGTGTGTGTGTGTGTGTGTGTGTGTGTGTGTGTGTGTGTGTGTGTGTGTGTGTGTGTGTGTGTGTGTGCGCGTGTCCAACTCCCTCACTCTCTCTCCCTCTCGCTTTCCCTCCCCATCTCTCCCTCTTCCTCTCCCTCTCTCCTCTCCCTTCCTCCTCATCTGATTTTCCCTTCCTTGAATTTTCAGGAAAAAATATCATTTTCTAATTCTAATAATGTCGATGTTGTTATTATTGTTGTTGATATAATGGTTATATGTTATTAAGAATACTAATGAAATAAAACAATAAAAAAAGCTCAATCCGAAAATCGTGAGGGAGAGAGAGAGAGAGAGAGAGAGAGAGAGAGAGAGAGAGAGAGAGAGAGAGAGAGACCACAAGCGAAAATGACCAACGGATATGGCATGTTTTTTTGTCATCTCGCCACCTCCCTCTCTCTACCAGCCTCCTCTTCTCACCACCTCCTCCCTCTCACCTCCTCTCCCTCCCTCTCACCACTTCTCCCCTCCTTCTCTCTACCAGCCTCCTCCTCTCACCATCTCCCTCTCCCTTTCACCTCCTCTCCTTC